AAGGTAAATTTGCTAATATTTGTAAAAGATATTTAATAATGGGAAAAAAGGACTCATCTGCCTTTAAAAACGCGTCAATGGCCGTCCTTGGCAAATGGTTACCAGGTTACCACTACCAATATTATTATTATTCCATTTCTTTTGCCACATATCTAATTCAGCCGTGAACAGAGAAAAAATTTTGTCATATAATTCACAAATATATCAAGTTTAGCGGCCGAACATTTTTCTGTGGTATGAGTACTGTAAGTATGAAATGGATTTGTGATGCTCAGAGAAACGATCTTTTAACTCAACTATAATATGATCTATGAACAGAATGTAGAGTACGGCTCAGGATTTTCAGCCGGAACATTTCGACGCTGAGTTTGGCGACTTACAGTCCGTTTTTTAATCTCGCCACTCATACCTAAAACAAGCTTTCTTGCTTCATTATAAATATTTTTAAAAGATTGATCGCATGACGCATGTGTCCCTAGATAACTGGACTGATTGCAGTATTAAATCAACATGTTCGACACAGGCTACCACATCTACATTCGCTTTTTGCAGATTCGTGGTTTTTTTGATAGGCACACATTGATTATTTTATACTTATTTTTTGATTTTAGTTGTATATTTTATTGGCGATTATTTTTTAAGAAAAGAATATCATGGGGGGGGGTTTGAACCCCCTAAACCCCCCCCCCCTTATATACAGCCCTGACTACTTTCAAGCATGTGTTCTAATTGGAAATGGACTAAAAAGACTGTTTGAAAAAGGAAACGATGATGCAATAAAGTAAGGTAGTCAAACGATAGTTAAATAGGTCGAACAAGGCTTCTTCCAGTGCATGACTTGCATGAATTTTCATGCCTAGCACTATTATTTAAGTGTTTTGTAGGTTTCTTGCCACCACCAGAATCCTTACGGCAGACCAGTTTACCAGTGAGGGATCATACACTTTTGCCCCTTCCCACCAGGGGCCTGATTCTCGTCTTAGGGGGTAGAACTCGCCGTTAGAACGAATGTTTTGTCCTTGTCAACGTTATCGAAAAGTTTGTTCTCTCGGGAAGCTCTACTCCCTGGCCCGGCAATCGGCCCCTGGGGTAATGGAAATTCTGTAGATTTACCACTTTCTCCAAATTTGCCTTTACCGATTTATAAGTTGGTTTGAGTTAGTTTGAAACAATCTCGCAAGTTGCGCATCAAGGAAGGTCGTCTCCTACCTATATTCTTTTTCCTTGAATTTTCCCCTACAATAATCAAATAGGGTAGTAGACAAGGTATAATTTCAATGAAATCGATGATCTATTCTTCATCTATGAAGTAAATAAAAAATATTCCTGTTAAAAGAAATCTCAGAAAAAATTACTAACTTTGTCTAAAACGGTTGTAAAAGTAGAGTTTTGGGAAGCACTATTTAAACGAAAATATTTCGCGCCTCGATTCTACGTCATAGCTGCTGTATTGAGTATGAATTGAATCAAACCTACGCCCGATATTCGACACAAACTTACTCATTAGTGCAAAAAAGATAGATATATCAGCGTCTGTCGGGTATCATTACATCTACATCTAGGCGCACCCACAACCTAATTCCACTTTTTGAGAGATTTCCATTTGTCAATCCAATAGGGCAATCCAACGACCTGTCAAAAAGGAATTCAAAATGGAGGCCAATGCCAAAAACACTACGTTTTATTGCGATTTTTGATTTGTGTAAAGTCTGTAAAGTAGTAAAGTGTTGATTTTTTGAAAAATGCATAGGTTATGTATTGTACTTAGTTGTGGGAGCTGTTCTAATCGCGAGAAAGTCTCGTTTCATGCCGTTTCTGCAGGGACAAAACACAGGTTTTTAACGGAGAAAAACGATTTGTCTGTACTTTGTAGGGCTTCATGGATTTGCAGCAAAAGAGAGAAAATCTGACGAAATCCATATTAAAAAACCAAAAACCAAAAAGTCTCTCCACATAAACGATGTATGGATTCATAAGCCATTTACTATTCTCCACCTCCGCCTCAACTTGTGTGGATACCTTGAATAGCATACAAATAAAATAAACATCAGGATTCAGGATTTGTTTAAGAAAAAACTAAACAGGAAACAAATCCTGGATAGTACCTACCTAATTGTTTAGTAAGGGTTTGTCACAATCACAAAGAAATAATCATAACTTTTGCAAACATCCGGGTTTTCCACTAAACTAAAAACTTTCCATCTTAAATACGAAAATTATCCTTCCAAGCACTTGAAAATCATCTCAGAACACCACAAAATACACACAAAAAACAGTGTTTTGATAAAAAGTGTCACTGTTGTTTGAATTAAATTTATCGCGCCAATTTTTTGACATTGGCCGCCATTTTGTTTGGATTGCCCTATGCGGTACTGAGTTTATCTGTTTTTTTTTTCTAAAAGCATGTTAAATATAAGGACGCACAGCCCCGCTCTCGCCACTCTTATTAATGTCGGAATGTCCACTATAGTTCATACCAAATAAACTTATAGTCGGGTTGTCAAGCTCGGCCGGCACAGCGTTGCCGTCTCTTCCATATTTTCTTTTGGTCAAAATATTTTCAGAAACAATAATAATGGATTATAAACATTGCTCCAAAGCTTGGTTTTATAGATATTTAATAACAACTCAATTGTCAATCATCACATAAAATATAATAATAACGCTCAGTACCTATTTTATTTACAGCCACTCTAAATACTATAAATATCTTATTAAATATTATGAATATTTGATCCATCAAGAAGATTTTCAATTATTCTGGATCACTGAAATAGCTGAAATCGCTAGAGTCTTCATCAATATTGATAAGTGGAAGAATGTATGCTATTGAAGTGGAAAAACGTATGCCATATGAGCATTGTCTATAACAATGACAGATGGTTCACTCAAGTTCTTCAACAGCTGATTTTCGAACCAACATAAAAAGTTTTGCTGATTAATTTCTTCATGATAGTCGTTAAGTTGAGTTTTCGATGAATATACAAGCGATGTACCTTCAATGAATCCATTTTCAGTGCCAGCATGAAGTAGGTATGATATATCTAGAAAAAGCATTTCTTTGTACATATAATACACTGGCTCTCTGTATTCATGTTTATATTTACCTATACCATCAACTTTGGTAGTTTTAACACTTCGCTTGTTGTTGTCTTCCCACGGTTAATAGTACCATTTTGAAAAATCCAAGTCTCGTTCAAGAAAACAAACTGGTACAAAGCCTCCTGTTTCAGTCCTAAATAAGACCTTAAAAATGATATGCGTTTAACAGCAATATCCAGGAAGTTCCATGAGCCCTCGTCTTGGGTCATCTTTTTTCCATTTGAAGCCTATTTCTTTTAACATTCTACTCAATGGCCAATTGCTCCCATATACAGGATAATGTTACATGTTGTTCTACAAGAAGAAAGAAGGCGATTCATAGATATCTATATGTACCTTTGTCTCAAACGATTTACTTTTTATACACATATCGTAAATAGTGTTATGTATAGCACTGCTATCGAGCTTTGAAACATCACAGACTCTCTTATTCGAAGTGCATCGTTTCTTAGAAGGCGATTCCAAATCTTCGTTATTTTTGACTGCCTTCGAAATAGCACAGACAGTGGACATACTTAAGTTCAAAGCCTCTGCTACTCGCTAAAAATGAGAGAAAGTTCAAATTAAAAATTCGTATTTGGTCACACGACATCAACGACTTATAAACTCACCTTCCTAACAGCATTTAAGGGACATTAAGGGCCATTATTATCGCGTTCTCGTTCGAAATATTGTAAAAAGGATGCGATTAGTTCTTTGCAATTGCTGTTAAGCTGCTTCGGCATCTTGTACACTTCGCACTACAAGCTGATTTTAAAAAACAAGGTCACAATTAACAGCACAAACCAAAAACTCGTAAACTGCCAAAATGCAATCAAAATGTCAAGAATTTAATTTGGCAACGTTACATTTTTTGAAGTGGTGTTACCAACTGAATGGCTAGCGGGAAATTCAAATTCCAATTAAGTCAATCCGACGCCGAATATTTTCACGGTTGGCGATATCGATTTTAAAAATGGCGTCATCGATGTCACAACAACAAGTTTATTTGGTATGAACTATAAGTACCCTATTGCAGTAGAATTTATTTCTCTGCTCACATGATGATTTCTAGATATTGGAGTTGACCTTTTTCCTTAAGTACCTATTCAACACTTAACAATCTTTCTTCATTCTCTGAAGCACATTTGTATTTGTTATTCTGTCTGTTCAACATGGTGGAAACTGTGCACAATAATGCACAATCTATAGACAATCCAAGAAGCAACGACGAGCTTAAACACCGAGTCGGCAACCGAGAGAAAGTCAGTGATAAATTAGACTAAGCTCTGTTCCAATCGACATGAGAACCGTTCCAGAACCAGTAAATTCCATTTGCCCACCTATTTTTCAATAAGTTAAAGTTTTATCCTTCTTGACCAAATGAATTTTTCGACTGGAAATTACCGTTCTAGAACGGTTCTCATATGTCGGTTGGAACAGAGCTTATTATGACTTTTCCTCTAGTTATTTCTGGTTAACCTTTTGCATTTTTTTTTTTTTAAAGGAAGCTGTGGCAACCCCTTGTAGCTTCTAAACTTTCTATAACCGGAAAAGCTGATTATAAATATCCCTGATACACACCAGAATATAGAGCAGTTAAAACCTCCCAGAAAAAAGGAAACTGAATATATCTGTAATTTAGCATTTTTAGAGTGACTAAACCTATTCAAATAATAAAAAAGACGATTTGCCTGAATTACCCAATAATACCACTCTATATTATTTAGCGCGAAGAGCAATTTAAGTTTTATCCTTGGTTTGGCTTTAGAATAAATACCTAATGAAATTCAATTGGGTTTTTTTTTCACACACCCTGTAGAATCCCTCGTTAACTCTTAGATAAAGATGTCTCGTCCGTTCCTAACCGAAAAGCATAGCTAATAAGAAAACCACAAGAAAACTAATGGAAAATTTACCGTTTTTCCTGCTGCTGCGTGACGTTACACACCCCATAGACCCTTCGTCCCCCGATCATGAAAAAAATCAACCCTGCTACCAACACCCCTTTTGGACGACGGGGCCCCGATCGACATTCGGGCCTGCTCCGTGCGGGTATTTTCTTTAGGTTAGGCGCCGCGCACTCGCACATGCCTCGCCAAAGAAGAAGAAGAACATTTCGGATAATAATCAAAAACTGGTCGTGGTATATCGCGTACGGTCGGTTCGACGGGGACTTTTAACTTTTAACGTCGTAGGTTAATTTGACCGTAAATAACAGTGTCCATTGGTTTGTTAAGAGGGTAGACCACCCCCGGAGCGATGAGGGTGTTCCTTTTGGTAGTCCTTGTGGGCCTGGTGGCCTGCAGTCAAATCGAGGCGAAACGCAAGAGGAAATTCGAAGGCGATTTTGAATTCGCCGAAGAGGTGAGTGGTTTATTATATTGATGGTCAGTTAATTTGGAATGCCTGCAGCGATTCAGTGCCGGACTTAAAAATACACCTTTATAGTATAAGTGCTTATTTCATCAACAAAAATGCCTAAAAGATAGTTAATTATAGCTATTAACCATCACATTAATTGAAAACGCCACCCTTTTTTTTAGCTAAATATAATATAACATTTGTCATACCAAACTAACAAGTTTGGTATGACAAATGCGAAATATCAGTTTCTAATTTAAATTGAGCATCGTCCAATGTCATAATGAAGAATTCCATTAGTTACATCTATCATAAATATTCTAGGCTTTTTCTTAATTAGAAATGACAACCCCTTTCTCTAAAGTTATGTATGACGGAAGTCCTTACTAAAATATTAAATCTTTTATCTTCTGTAGCTAACATAATGTTTCAAAAATGCTAATTCACAGCCCCTATCTATATAATATTCATGCATGTGAGTTATAGAAATTACGATATAAATTTCTAGCTTAAAGTACCGTATATTATGTTACCTACTCATGTCTAAATTTAAAGGAAAATTGGTAACAAATTAATGTTCACTTAATCAGTAGTTGGTATCCTTTCCAAGTTCTTCTAATACTAATTTCCTCATCAGTTCAATTGAATTCATAATAAATAGTACGTGTTATAGTAGCTCAGCCCAGTTAAATAACCCGATCCGTTTATTAAAGCTTAAATTTCGCAAGCAATTAATCGTGACTAGAAAAGTTTAAAGCTTGGTTTAAAGTTAACAATGTTAGATTTTTGCGCTTTTTTGACGGATTCTAAGTTTAAAATCTTTAAACCTCAATCAGATATTGATATTGATATTGGCTGTATTGGCAGACATATTTCTAGGAGCTGTGTCAAACGCTTCCAAAATGGTTATGTTAATCCAAAACAAACCTCCTAAACCATGATGAGCTAATTTATTAATACTAATACCTACCTACTTATACTTTTTGTGGAAATTGAATTTGATAATTTGGAAAAAAAATCGACGGAGCCTAAATACCTATCTAACTTCATTTTTGAATTTATTTAATTGCTATGAATTGCCAGCTTTCGATTCCCTGTAAAATTTTCCCAAAGCAAATTTTCACTCTTATCGGCTCTTGAATTCCTCTAAAAAAACCATGCAAAGAATCTACCTAATCAAGAACGGCAAATAATCTAAATTTTGGATTCGTTGAACTATTTTTCTGAGGGCAATCAATGGTAATGATCAGAAGTTGAAGTGAGTTTGTAGGTCCTATTTAAATTCCTAAAAAGCTTATTATAGTTATTAGAAAAATTGAGCCTGTAGTTTTTACCAATAAAATGTCAAAATTTGATTATCACTCTTCTGTGAATCAGGAGCGGGTAATAAGCAAAATTTCGAATATTTTGGGCTTTTGACTGTACTTAGAAAAATTATCCAGCTGAAAAAAGTCCAAATTTTAATTTTGACTTGTTTTTGATTTGTTCCAGTATTTTGTCAAAGGCGGTCGAAAATTTGTTATCCTTGGATTTTCACTCGCTGAAGATCTAGGGTTATTAATATCCATGGACAGTCTGAGTTTTATAATCTGATACTCCACAGGAATGTGAGTTGGTGGTCACCTAACACCTGACTTCACACCTGTTTTTGCTGCATTCTTCCTCTTCTCCCTCCTCATACAGAAAGTTTCGAATTGGAAAAGCTAAACTATAGCTGCTCACGGAAACTATGATCGGGTTAACCCGATCACAAGGATTACCAATCTCGACGCACGGAAAGGGATCTACGATCAGTTCACTCTTGTACGGAAAGTGATCCGGTTGTTCGGTTCAGTATCATATGTTTGGATCTCAACGACCCTGTAAAATGCTGGGTAAATAGAATTGGTAGCCATCAGCTGTTTTTCTTAACCCAACATATTAGTTGTTTGTTAATTGTTTTGATTGGTTGGTGTGTTGGTGCTACAAATAACAAAAAATTAGTTCTATGAACTTGAGATTAAAATTAAAATCAGAAAATAAAAATAATTTTTGTAGAGGTTAGGATTGTTGGGAGGTGTCATTTGCCAAAATTCATCTGCGGATCCATCTGTTCGGAAACTAAACTAGCTCCACCTAGGGCTGAATTTAAAATCGTTGCTTGAGGTTTTCTCGGATCTTAAGGAAGCCTTAAACGTTTAGAATTGTTATGACTAATTTGCTAAATAGTCGCAATAGTATCCATTCTAAAGTCACGACCTTCGAGGAAGACTCAAGGAGCGACTACGAATTCGGCCCCTAGATAGTTTACTAATCCTTGAACAGACGATACTGATCGAACTGGAACTGATTCCAGATCTGTGTTTTCGTAAAGCTGCAGTCAGACTAGGCTGCTTCACCAGCCGCTGGTTTGGGTTCACATTGGTTTTATGAAGTAGTGGTATTATTGCTGCTGCTAGCGAGAAGAATAAGTGCTGTGTCAATTTTCTGTTGAATTTGCTGGAGATGTCTTCTGTGGCTTCACGAAGAGATGTTTTGATAAGATTATTAAGAACGGAAGCCAATGAGCTTTGCCAACAGGTTTTTCTCAAGAAAAAAAAAACGCATTCAGGTTAGAGACTGGATAAGTTATAGAACTGAATTAGGGGTTTCATCAAATCTTTTGAAAGAGCTTACAAAAGAAGACACCGAATCCTATAGGAACATATTAAGATTATCAGTTCCAAAATTCGAAGATTTGTTGGAATTATTTACACCAATTATAAGAAAAAGAGATACTCATTTGAGACCACAGCTATTCCGTGCAGGACCAAACTTGAGATAACTCATCAGTATCTTGCAACTGAGGACAGCTTCAAAGCTCTTATGTACATTTAATTCTTTAACCAGGTCTCTGAATGCCTTATCCCTGGTATCACTTTTAATATATTCTGGAGATAAGGCATCCCACAAACTAATATATTTTTGTTATTTATATGGAACTAAATTATTTGGTTTGATGTCCATCTGTTCTGCCATTTTTGGTGAAACACTGGGTACATTAAGGCGGCTGAGACTGCTTAGTAGAGCCTAGTCTCCATATACGTGAAATCGCGAATTTTGCATTGGTTGGAATTTAACATTTAACATTTAAATGTCCAGTCCAACCAATAGGAAAAAATACGCAAAAAAAATTCGCGATTCCGCGTCTATGGAGACTAGGTTTTACTAAGCAGTCTCAGCCGCTGGGGCCGCCTGAATGTACTCACCTGGTACCCACTGACTCCTTGTGACTTGAAAAATGCCTATTTGTTGGCATTTTTCACCAGCACCACCAACATTCACCAGCAGTGCATGCGCGAGGATATAAGAAAAGCAATTGCGTACAGAGATGAAAGTTATAAAAAATTTAAAACTACAAATAATAGTTATGTCTTTTCGGATTCCTTTGTGATATTCGTCAGAATTTTTATTTAATATTTCTGATGAATAGGCTTTCTGCTGTAGGTAACTTGTTTTCGACTCTCCTCCTGATTGTCAATTATAGGATCATAGTTCAAAACCGGTTAATAATCCTTTTTCAATACTTCCTCATCTGAATCTTCAAAGCCACATAGGCCTGGTATGTTTTCAGTGCATTCACCTCAGTACCTTCATGTTAAAATCATTTACTTGTGGAGAGCAGTATCTCTATCTGAAATAAGTCTGGAAGATTATCCAATTATTATAGAATAAGTCATCAAAATTTTTACGGTCTCATGCAGCTGATGTGGTTTCCCTCACAATTCGAAGAAACATATGGTATATTTGTTTATATAATCTACAATTACTAAAACATATCGGATTCCCCTTTTGCTCTTCACAATGGTGAATGATTTAGATGAATTTTATGGAACGGTACTTTTATTTTGTTATCAAATAAAGATGTCCTCTCCTGCTCCTTCCTGCAGGCCGATCCTCGAGCCAGGGAGTGAAACTTCCCGAGAGAACAAAATTTTCGTCTTTATCATTCTCGTTTACTTTTCGATTACGTTGACAAGGACAAAACATTCGTTCTATCGGGAAGCTCTACTCCCTGGCCCGAGGATCGGCCACCTGGTGTCTTGTTAGATAAGCACTCGATGCATGTACCTATGTGACCTGTTACATAACTTCTCATTCTAGTGACCCAATAAGATTGCTTTATCCTCTCTACTGTCTTATTCTCTGAGTTGGACGCCCAAGGTAATCGTGACTTTCCTTCACAATTTCCATCTTGATTTTTCTGGAGGGACCTATTATTTCAGTTTTTCATTTTAGTCTTCTCTGTATTCCCCATTTCCATATAACTTTTATTGAATCACTGCTTTATAATAGTGTTATGGTGTTAAAATTTCTTCTAAATTTTTAAGTCATTTGTTCAGTCAATAATAATATAGGTACGTACCATATAAGTAAGGGCGAGAGTAAATCTTGTACGAATTAATACAGCCTTAATCATTTTACTAAAAGTAGTTGGACCATTGATGATACCAGAAGGCATTTTCTTAAATTTGTACGAATCATTATTTGCTATAAATGCGATCCTTGTTCTCGACTTTTCTTCAATTGCTATTCGATATAACCCACTCGTATGATAGGGACGTATAGATTTCCATTCCAAGATAAATTATGTGGGAACTTGTGACGTCACACCGGCAAACCGCTGAAATTGCAGCCGTCTGTACGTTGAGTCGTCAGTGAACCGTGTCCTATACTTTGAGTGGTTTTAATTCGCTCTAGTGAGATAGGAGACTTTTAATTCGGAAAATTCTTACACGTGTTAATGAGAAAAGGCTTGTGTTGCCAACATAGTTACTAAATTTTTGACTTGGGGAATTATCTTTAAAAAAAAACACTTTAACTTAACTAAATTAAAAATGAACAGTCTTCCCCTGAGGTCTAAAGGCGCATTTTCACTGAAAAATTGGCAACTTCTGTATTTGCAAATCTTCCAAAAATCAACAACTTTTATATTTTTCATGGTTATCCTCACCGATTTTGGTAATATTAAATGTAGGTATAGT